TATTTTGATATAATAAATTATAATAAGAATAATTTACAGATGGCAATTGATTTATCTTTCTTCTTAATCGATCTGTCAAACAATTAAGAGTGAAAAGCATATGTTAATGTAATTTCATAACTATTTATTTTGTACTATACAATATTTCCTCATAAAAAGATATTTTATGTTAAGAAGAATGTAACCAAAACAATGTGTATAGGAATGCTTGTATATGCATGTTAACAAATGAAGCTCACTCACTTATGATACTAACTGTGGTGCAATTGTGCCATGCATTAATGACTTTACCTTTGACCTCATATAATGATGAAAATAAAGCTCACTCTTTGTTGTGTCAACAAAGTGTGAATTTGTTCATTTCTACCTCAAATAATAGTAGACATGGTCAATATAGCACTATTCTAACAAAGAACTTATTAGTTCTGTGTTAGAATATGTGTAGAAAGTGCTTCCAAGATGAATGTATTAATATATAGAAATAAAAAAATATGCGTAAAAACATATTAAGTCGTTATATCATTTGACCGTTATATGCATAGATAAAAATAACACTGTTACAATCATACTTCACTTTAAATTTTAAATAAAACTTATGTTCATAATTGTTATTAAACTGTTCTGAACATTATTATTTTGCTTATAGTTTAAAGTAACAGCTAGCATGAATAATGTTTTTTTCTTTTTTTTTTTTTTCTTTGAACGCTTATGATTTAAAATTGTAGTTGACCAACTTTATTATGATGATAACTAATTATTTTATTTAATAAAATATTTATGAATTGGTCTAAAGGAATAAATGAGTAAAAGAAGAGAAATTGTATATTGCAAGCAAACCCAACAAGAGAAATGTATTCTTTCCACTGTAAATATTTCTTTTGTTTAGACTTATATAATTTTTTTGTGTACGAGGAAGTGGATACTATTAAAAGGTTCTTAGATTTTATTTTGATCTTGAACTAGAAATCAATTTATAATTTAAACTTCATTTGATCGTTTATTCTCATTTTATTACCTCTTGGGCCAAGTCGTGATATCAAAGAAGTCACTTGACTTCACAATTTGATCAAAGAATTTGGAGTTGTCAAAAATAAATAAATAAATATTTCCAATGGGCAATTTCTTTGAGAAAAACTCAAGTCCATCATGATCACAACAAGTATATTGACGGTTGGTAAATATTTATTAAGGAAATTGTAGAATGTGAAAATCTACATTGGAAAATCGGGACTACTCATAATCATGTAGATATGCTAATGAAGCTGATTTTGGGATTAAAAGCCAATAACACTTGGAACCAATCAAAATTTTTTTTAAGTCCGGCACTTAAGGCCACAATGGAGGCTATATTATTTTTGGAGGAAGCTCATGAACGTGGAGATTGTTGAAAATGAAGCCCAATTCTACCACAAAATCTCAAACAAAAGCTAACACAATGTTCAAAATGAAGGATACCACAAAACTTACAAAGAAGGATACCACAAAGCCTACATAGTAGGCTCCCACAAAATCTACAGCATGAGTTGCTATAAAAGATTACTACATATACCATAAAATCGATCAAATACATATGAAGGTTTAATGACATGGGGCACAAGCTTCGAAGCAAATCTAGATGTAAGCCTCAAAATTGGAAAAAGAACTCATAAATTAAGTATGAAAAATCACTAATATAATGATTCCATTATCATCAAAAAGAAATTTACAACAAATCTCAATTTAAATTTTGAAATGAGAATTAGGGGTAAGTATTTACTTAAAATTTTGAATACACATTGACGATCAAGATCCACAGTAGCCTCATCCTTAGGGCTATAAATGAAACAATGCACTCGATGAACAACTCGAGCTCGACTCGATTAAGACTCGATCATGTTCGTTCAAATTAGTAAATAAACAAGCTTGAACAATTTTTAAAAACTCAGAGTTTAAATAAACTAAATATGAACATAGTCGAACTTGTTCATTTATGTTCACGAACAAACACGTTTGTTGTTCAAATACTAACTCGTTAAATACTCGATATTAAATTCGATAGTAACTCGTTTTATATATGATATACTATTTAAATGAAATTTGATTAAGTATAATTTATTTAATTATAGTTTTAATAATAAAATATTATTATTATGTTAATAATATTTTTAATTAATTATTAATTATATATTAATTTTATTATAGTTTAGATGTTAGATGTGAAAATATATAAGATTTATGTGGTATGTATGAAATGCCCCTAAAAATTAACATTTAAACCCCGCAAACCTCACTTTCCCTCTGGCCTCTCACAATTTTGTGTCTCCCAATTTTGCCCGAAACATACGAAACCCTGAGTTGCTCGCGTGTGCAAGCATCGAATGCAATGACGAGATCGTGGTGTACAAGGATTTCTGATACTCTAGTATCTTGTATATCTCTCACTCTGCTCATAAATTCTATCTAATTTAAAAGTGGTGTTCAAAAAATGCAGTGCAATAATGTTAAGTTATATATAATTAAGAATAATGATGGTGTAACAACTCAATATAAAAGACATCTATAAGATTTCCAAAAAAGCTAGGAAAACAACAAGCTCATTTCACCATAGGAAAACCAACACCTACATTTAAATTTGAGAGTCGGGTGCAAACTTGGAAGTATGAGTATGATCATGTTAAAATATGAGAGATTACATTCTATATAATCATGATTCATGAGCTACATTTCATTTTTACAGAGTTTATAATCAATAAATTAATATGTGCAATCAGATTTATAAAATTATTTGTTGAATTTTTTATATGAAAATCTAGATAATTGTTTGAATTTTTGGTTCGTTTAAATACCGGTTCACTTATCGTAAACAAATCAAGTTTAAATATTAAAAAATTTAAACAAGTCAAGCTTGAACAATATATGAAAGCTCGACACAAGCTAAAACTGAACATGAACAACTTATAATTATACCAAGCCATGTTCGAAATATGATATACTCGACTCGGCTCGACTCGATTACAGCCCTAATCATCCTCATTTTGACAATCTTTTGAAGAATCATCATTTGTAATAATGTTATCATTATTTGATTGTCTCATTGCATCTTTCAATACTTCTTCAACCAAAATATTATCTATTTTATTCTCTAGATTAATTAACATGAGATCTAACATAATCTAAAATAAAATAAAAATAATAACAAAATCTAGTCATCAAGCTTAAACCATCTTTTTTAACTTTTAAGATGTATTAGATATAAAAATAAAAGTATAATATAATTAAATATATGAAAATTTACATACATAGCACCCAATTCTTATGCATTTACTTATCTCAAACCTAAACTTTGATTTTTACCCTAAACACCCTAACCTATGTATGAAAAGGTGGCTAACACTATTTCCACCTTTTCTTACATGGGAAAAGGTGCTTTAGGTGTAAAAAACAAAGTTTGGATGTGAGACAAGTAAATGCATAAGAATTGGGTGCTATGTATGTAAATTCCCCTAAAGGTAGTATATACAAATAATATTTTTGCATAAACTAACTAAGATACTAGTTCAAATGCCTCAAAACTTATGCTTTGAGCCAAATGCCTCAAAACTTGTGCTTTGAGCCAAATGCCTCAGACAAAAAAGGCATAGGTCTCACTATTGAACGTGAGGCTTACGAGCAAAGACAACATTTTACACCTCTATATGAGGAGCACCTTGAGGCATGTGCCTCAAATGTTGGATGGATATTATTTATTAATGTTAAGAGATTAAATATTCTTTATCTTCACTTGAAATTATCTCATAAACAACTCCTCAAATTTGTAATAGCTTTTGTATAAGTGTAACAATCTTGAAAGAAATCTTGACTATTTTCTTTTTCTAAGTTTGTAGTCACTCGCTGCCTCCCATGGATGTAAGAAAATTGTTGAACCACATTAAAATCATATTCATGTTTGTATAATAGTTTTCTTTTCTGAAATTTTGGAGCTCACATACAAAGAGACCTTTCGAGTAAAATCATAAAATGTAAGAGGACATTGTACACTACATGGACATGAATTTCAATAGTTACTCAAGAAATATGTTTAAAAATTAAATTACTAAAGCCCAATATTGCATCATGATAATATTTCAGTTAGATAAATGTCTAAGTGTCTTGAAACAATCAGCTCTTTAACATTAGAAAATAGAATGTTAACTGTGTATTAATCAGCTTTTAGTATGATTTATATACATCACAAACTAAAAATAATATGGCATTGAAAGCCTTTGCATTATTTCAAAAATCAAGAAAGTTTCGAGTTAGAATGTGCAAGCAAGAAGTTTGGCTTCCTATTTGTTTTGTGTGAGCATAGGTCCTAATGAATTACCGCACTGAAGTGTCAATAAAAAGATATTCATTTTGGAATTTCATCAAGGAAGAGGGTTTCAATGTACAAGGATATTTAGCCTACATTTGCAATAGGTCGGGATGACAAAGTGTGGGAACTTATTAATTCAATCCAACATCCAATATTGAATCGTTAACATCATATCAAAAAAGAAAGGAAGTGAGAATTGGATTGGAAGGTGGAAGCACATTTACGTTTCTATTAGAGATGAAAATAATGCAATGTTATTTCTAATTAATGTCCTTGCAAATCTACATGAACTAGCTCTGATACACTAAACTAGCCAAGGTAAACTTTCTTCATACTAGCTGACGACATATGCAAAGGCTACTTCTATAGAAATAATAAAATGATTGATGTTCCAAATATAGCTTAACATTGCTATACCTCAATCACCTAAATACATCCCCGAGTTGAATTATTGATTTATTCACAAAATAAGTGGGTTTACGTTGTGTCAAAGGATGATAATTAATTGTCAATAGTGTGTACAGCTTCATGTTCAAATTCTACCAACATTTTGGAATGCAGAGCATCCAGTATTTGCTTGAATCAAATCTATTTGTTTTTCTAAAGTAAGTTGACAACACAAATAAACCAATTAATTGTGAAGCATACTCTGCAACGAGTCTCATACCTTCTAAGTTCTACTTCTCTCATGGAAAACATTGCATCTATGTCACATTCTCTCAATGGAAGATCCAAACCCATTTCTATTGCATAACTAATCATGCCAGGAAATATAATACTAAAGCCAACAGGAGTTTGTAATTGCTCATTTATACTGGAGGAGAAATTTGATCCAATGAAGGAGAGTCCTGCAATAAAGAGTCTCAAATTAAGTCCATAACATTTATTAAAGCTTAAGAGGAGGTTCTTTTACAAGTACCTTTTCTGACATACTCCTCACCAACATTCCATCGCCTAAGTGCCAGCACACAAGCCAAAGTGGATGAAAGTGCCTCTTTGGTTGCATAAGGCTTGTGATGGTTGGAGATCCATGAGCCATCAAGAAGCTGGTTATCTATTATCCAATCAACACATTCAGGAAAGTAAGGAGTTCCAGGAAATCTTGAAGATGGAACCATTGCAACCCAAGCAGTATCATAAGCAGACACTGAGAGTTCTACCTTTAGTAACCTCTCCCTAATTTTGTCCAAGAAATTTTTAGAATTCTGCAAATCATTTCAAAAGTTTTAGGTCAAGTATCAATCCATAATAAGCAAAATCATAACATTCTTATCAGGGCGAAGTTGTCTTTCGTACCACATGTGAATGATCGTCACTAAGAATATTATTTTGTCCTTGATCCAGATTTGTTGCTAGCAGAAATTTAAAAAAACATCATGAAATTATGACATACATAAGGCAAATAAATATCTGATAAGTTCAATGGGGGGAAAAATGAAAGATTTTAAAGTGTTTATTTCATTTTAAGGCAATGACACTAGCCTACCATGGGTAATCACATGGAAAACTAGACAAAGGGTGGATTTTGTGTAATAGTGACGCAAACAGTAAAATAAATAGAAAATGAATGTACAACTTCTCATCTTGACTCATAGAACTTTCAACTAAAACTTCTGAACCAAGTTTCTATTTCAATTCACACATTAATTTGTTTGCTCAATAATCGAGATAAGTTTCAGGGTTTGAACTTGTTCATGCAATTGGGCATTTATCCAAGCAATAAAAAAATGAAAGGTATATCGCTTACTCTAGGTCAAGTTTTGATTGCAAAAATTGAGCCGATAGTGTGCATAGATCTGGAGCACCATAGCATATTTCAATCTTACAAAAAAATAGTTAAGTCGATAGTAAAAATGCAGGATTTCTAAATGAAATATCAGGAAAATAAAAGCTTAAGAGCTACAAAGCCTCAACTAATTGAATTATTTTGACTAGCAGGAAATAAGTTACTACATAAACCCCTTTCTTATAGTTGGATGTGTGAATATAAAGCAAGAAAGTTGAATGCTTATTGTTGTTGGTAATTGCAAATACCAACATACACAAAAGTAAGCATAGCACGTCTCACAAGACATTGCATGGCATCGGTGAAGGTCCTACAAGAGATAACAAAGTAGATTTTGTGGGAGAAGGCAACATTATGAGTCTTAAGGTAGATGGATGTGGAGACAGCAATGATATGTCTTATGAGAGATGACTACGACACAAATTTTTCTTTATGGCAAAATAGCTCTCAAGTCTTTTTTATCCCGAGCATCGCTCCTCTCCCATCTATGGCTATAATTTTGCTGCAATAATTGCATCACACGTGTTTCCTAACATGATGAAAAGAGATTCACTCGCGGAGAATTGAAACTAAATAATTATACTCTCCCATTCACGATGATCTTGTCATCATGATAGTCACAGAGAGTGCATGACGCATGTGCTAGGGCGGTGCCCGATTGCAGGCGCTTCGTCTTCGCATATAGAAGACCCGCAAACCTTCGCAGGAACAGTGAGCGGGTGGGGATCGCAAACCTATGCGATCCAAAAAGTCGCCACCAGTGGAATTTTAGGTTTTATAGATTTTTCTAAACTTCCCACTCTCTTCCTTTGTGTAGAAGCTTCCTTTGTCCAGGGGTAGCCTACCAACAATCATCCTTTAGGCAACAACCTTCCGACAAGCAGCCACCTACAATCACCACGACCAACAAGGGCACCCCGGGAGAGACTAGCCAACTCGGACACGGAGATGACAGTCCAAATCAGAGCGAGAAAAAATAGAAGAAAGGTAACACCTCCAACGTTATACCAGCCAGGAAATGTTTCAAATGTCATGGTTACGGTCACTTAGCCTCCAACTATCCCACAAGCAGAGTAGTCTCACTTGCTGAGCAAGGCGCCGTGGAAGAGATTAGAGATAAGGAGAAAGCTGAGGAACAGAATGAGGAGTATCAGCTTCCCCCAGATGAAGGAGAGGCGCTCGTGTTTCGAAGGATCCTAAAGACTAAGGGCACTAGAAATTCGCAGTGGCTTCGCCACAACATATTCTACACTCACTGCACTGTAAAAGAAAAGGTACGCAGTCTCATTATCGACGGCGGAAGTAGAAAGAATGTGACATCAACACAAATGTTAGAGAAATTGAGACCAGCAGTTCAGAAGCATTCCCAGCCATTTTCAATGACGTGGCTAAAAAAGAGAATTGGGTCAGCATTGATCGAGATGCTTGGTAAAGTTTTTAATTGAGAGCCAGCTACAGTACCAGGTATGATGTGGCGTAGTTTCCATGGATGCTCGTCACCTTCTATTGGGAATACCGTGGCAATTTGACCGGAAGGCTCAGCACGATAAATTAAAAACAAGTATTCTTTTACAAAAAACGGGATGTGCATCACCCTCCTTCCTTCGATAGAGTCCGGGGTCACAGGATCCCTTATCACCAGAGCAGCATCAGTGGGACCAGTTTTAGTAATGACACCAAACGAAATGACTGAGACACCCGCCCCAGATACAGGACAGATACAGCCGAGGTTATGTCAGGTCGATGTCATACTATCAAAACCACCACCATGCAAGAAAGGTCGGATTACTCTCACTACATGCTTGTTTGAACCGATCACGGGTTACTTTGGGAAGATTCAACAGTGTAAGAATAATTCACAACCTCAGGAGGAGCTGCCCGAAATGGATTGGTCGATATGGACATTTGCATGCAAGCTGGGAAAGACCCTCAAATACCTCACGCGACAATGCAGTCAACATTGGGATCCAAGGTGACTGACAACGAAACAAAAACTTTGACATGTGAAGTCGAAGCTCCCCCAACCACAGGAGACTGACACGGACGTTAAGTCAACACCCGATGCGGGCGCTTCGTTTTTGCGGGCAGAAGGCTAGCAAACCTCCGCGGGAACAAGGGTGGGTGGGGATCACGAACCTGAGCGATCCAAATAGGCGCCAATAGTGGAATTTTAGGTTTTCTAAATTTTTATTGGCTTCCTGCTCTCTTCCTTTGTGTAGAAGCTTCCTTTGTCCGAAGGGAGCCTATAAATTGTTGTCTCCTAAAAGTGAAAGGATAGTGCTAGTAGAGTTGTCTTTTGATCTCCTATGTAGAGTTTATTTCCCCTTGTGAACTGTGTCCGAAGAGGTGGTAGTGCTCTGGTTGTATCCTCTCCAAGGTAGTGATCGTATCCTCCCTTCTTACCTTCCTCAATCCTTCTCCTCCCCACTCTTCAGTCGTCGAATTCTCCCTCTGTCACCCTGCCACCCAGCTATTTCCCCTTCCTGCATGTTATTACCGATGTCCCACCTTCCTAACTCCTTTCAAGCTCCTCCTAACCACCCCCACTACCGCTGTCAACCACCTACAACCCTTTCCTACTTGATATCCCTACAGTTCCGTACATTTCATTCACTACCGCCCACCTCCCGTGACTGTCGTAATCCCTCCAAATCATCCATATTCCTCTAGTCGACCTCCACCACCCATTTGGACACATGCAGGGGTGTTTGTTGCTGTGGTTTTTATGTTTTGCGTTGATATTTCCGTTCGAGTCATGTTGTAACCCTATTTTAATATTAATGAAAGTTTGTTGTGTGATTCCACTTTTTTTTTAAAGTTTGTTTGCGTGATTCCACTTTATCCTCTATTAGTTCCGGTATCAGTGCACCACCTAAAATGACCTTGGTTGCATCACTTGCCATTTGAAAACATGGATATGCTCAATATATGCACTACAACATTCGCTCTCTCTACTATAGTTGGGAACAAAACTTGGGCCACAACTAACTACTCCAAGAGTAGCATTACATTCATTTTCTCAAGATTTATGTCATGGCTCTCTGCCATCAAACTTGCAATAAATCAGTTGTCATCAAGACTTGCATCACATCAATCTCCTTTGAGACAAGTGTTGTTGTTTATTACAATAATTGCATCACAGCTACCTCTTGTTGTTTTGAACATTGTAACTATTAATGTCAACAAATCATTCTCTTTCTCCATATTGACACCTCCTCCACTTACAAGAGTGAAGTACCTTGTATATATTTTTATATTAATGGATATTCTTCAGCTAGGCTAAACTGTATGATTCTTCTGTTTTTGAATTTTCCACATAGAAGTATTTTTTCCACGTTCTCTACTTTACTAAGTCGCATTTTAGTATAATCTAAAAAGGTAAAAATTGATCCTCACTCCACAAACTCAATTTCAAGGATGCAACAATCTATAACAATGGCACCACCTGAAGTTCAAGCAAAGTTTATCTCCCATTCATGGCTATCCTACTTCCATAGAATCGCATGGGACGTGCTGACTATCATGGCATCGATATTGCCTCTTTACACCTCAATACATGTGTCTACTTAAGACCAATTATGCAAACTTCTCTTATGCCATAATAGTCCCTTGCAAGTGCTATGCTATAGCCATTTCCCGTAAGGCTCATGTTGCGGCAATCTCCTATAAGATCTTGACAACAACACCTGACAAGTAAGATTTTTAATACAATTGTTTCCCTCAAGACCGGCATCATCTCAACCCTTCACAAGACCTGCCTCATAATCATCTCCCGAAAAACCCACGTCAAGATTATTACCATTGAGATTTTTGTCATCACTATCTCTAGCAAGAATAATGCAACAGCTATCTCTTGACAACTAAGTAATTTTTTTATATGAGCTAAACTTCAATTATGGAGAAGGACAATAACTTAAAATTGTGTTGTAGTAATGGAAAACGTTCATTTGGACTAGGGCACCATTTCCCTTTTATGTTTTTAAAAGAAAAATCTTGTACACTCTCTACTCTGTTTAATTTTTTGTTTGAGTGTGATTGAAAAGGACTAAGGCAGACAAGATTGTTCCTCTCAACCAACTCAATTTCTCACAAGTAATGACTTTGAACCACTTTTTTTTTGGTTTATTCATAGACATTTCAAGATAAATAATAATATTTTATATCTAAATTAATGTGCCAATGATGATGGCAACTCATAAATATATGTTTTCACCCTTATAACATAGAAGGTTAGAATTCACCTTGTACGGTTGGCAATTAAAAAGGATATCATGTAGTCATTGCTTACAGAAGTGAAAGACATTAATGAGATCCTTGATATGAAAACTATATAAAATTATCATGACAAATCGCGAATAAACCTTCAATAGACATTGGGCCTTATGGCAAAAAAACAATTCTATAAATCAGAAAAGAAAATTGCACGTCTTCTGGTCAAAAATGAACCAAACTTCATATATCTATCACAACTAATGCCATTAATTTTGGCTTGGCATGGCAGCTCAATTATGCCCATAAAATCATATGACTTATACCGAATATAGCTCCTTTACAATTGGCATTTTATTACTGCCAATAATAAACGGAAGTGAAATTACATTGTTTGGCAAATAGATAATGAAAAATTATTCTGCAACCACAAGTCACACATCCTAAGGCTCTTCAATCAAATTAAAAGTAGGCCTCCAAGAATAAATCCAACTCATGGATTGTTTCCATCAATTATTTTTCCTCCAAATAGCTAGCACCATTGTTCAAGTTGGTAAACATATCTATCACAAAATTAATTTACCAGATTCTATTGTCTAACAATTCAATATTCCACCAGACTAAAAAATTGCACTTTATATCCACACGAATCCAAAAGCAAGCAATTTATTCAATATATGGCAACCAAATTCTAGAAAACGATCCAGGATGTGAAGGAAAACCATCCAATGCTAATATAACACTGATGGGTCGGTGAGACAGAAAGTAAACCTTGAGGACCGCCTGCATTGGCCACCAAATTCCTCCCCACGCCAACGGAAGAGCCAACCGTAGAAACAGCAAAAGAAAACATGTCAGCCGCCAGATGATCCCCTTCACTTCAACTGCAGACTTTAAAGAAAGATGAATTAAACATAGAACCGGAAGCTTAGCCATAAGAACAAAAAAGTAAGACTGGAGATTTACAAAAATCCAAATAAAACTTAAATCACGCAACGCGCAGTGATCGATCGATGAACGACGAGGAAATACCGAGCAACAGATAGAGTACTACAAAGTTACTTGGGAACAACATCCAGACGCGCGAAGATGCTCTTCTTGCCTTTACTCTTTGGTGTTAAGCAGAAAGATGATCGGTTGCTGTACCGAGGCCAGTATTTCTTTTTTGCTTACTATTTTATCTGAAAATGTTTTGAATTAAAAAATAATTTTTAAAAGTTAATCATGATATTTTGATTTATTAAACTTAAATGATGAATTATGAATGGAACCAATCATGTTATAATTCGAGTTAAACACATGAATAATATTCGAGAATCATTTCAAGCACGAGCCTATTAAAAAAAATTTAATAAGTTAGATACGAACAAACAATTAGCTCGCTCAAATTTGGTTTTTTTAAACCTCTAAACTTCATTTGGATTAGGGATGTGAATGATCCAATACCTGTCTTATTCGGGATCGGCTTAAAATCGGTTTAAATAGATTTAATGCACTCAAAATCGGCTCGTGGTTCATGGCTCATTATATTTGGTTTTGAGTCAAGCCGGCTCGAAATTGAATGGAGATCAATCCAGCTCCAAATCTAAAATAGTCGGCTCAAATTGAGTTATTTGGATTGGTTCTCAATTTTGAAACTAACGGACTCAATTTGAGTTATTTGGATATGTTCCTGCTCAAAATTAGTCGTTATATTCAATTTTACTTAGTACTATACGTGCAATTTTTATTAATAAACAATATTGTGAATCGATCACAAGTCAGTTTGAGCCGATCCATACATGGCTCAGAATCGGCTAAGAAAATTTCGATCTATAGTTTTGGCTTATAGCTCACTTCGATCCGATCTTGATCCAAGCCAAAATTTGAATCAATTTTCAATCTTCGAGATGAAATTATAGAGGAAGTCTCCTCCTACCTGAAGAATGTTAGCTCCAACCTTGAAAAGATCTCCTTCATGTTGATCTCCGGCTTTGAAGACGATCGAGAGATCTACAAATCTCAACTGGTATAAGGGTCATACACTTGAAGTCCTCGATCTAATTCAGGAATTGAACCGCCCCGTCGATAAGCCCCTCCTCACGGCATCGTTTAGTAACTAATTTTATGATTATTTATTTTGCATTGTCCGGGACCATTGTGGTTTTGTTGGGTGTATTTGTCTCTTGCTTTATTTAATTTATGATAAAAATGTGTTTTTTTTTTTTTAGTTTAATCCATTTTTGGTTTATGAGATTTTATTATATGATTTATAAATAATGAGGGATTTAAGTGAATACATCTAATTCTATAATATTTACTTATTTAACATTTAGGATTTACTCATTTATTTCTATTTTATTGAATGCCTTGGCAGCATCCAAATTTTCTTTGGTTGGGATGTGGAGCCGGTGATTGCATAGATTTACGTGACAGGAGATGAGGCTGTCAATTTTTTGGGTGGCAAGTTGATGCAATGTGGTTGTTGAGTTAATATAAAATTTTAGATTTTGAATGAATACATTGGAAATAGTTTAAGTGTTTTATATACATATTTCTTAAAATATTGTGTAGAGTCTGCACAATAGCACCACGGTCGTTATGCGATACAAGGCAGTGTGGCCGCATTGGGACGTGTGGTCATCCATATCTCATATTTTTTCGATAGATAGGTTGGTTGGCGTTCGAATTATTGACATATCCTAGAGAAATTGATTGCAGTTAAGAAAAATTTATATGCATAACCAACAATTCATTATGTATTTATATATCTAATATTTAAATTTTATTTATTTTTATTTATATTCCTTAAACTTCTCTTATCATAATAAATATATCATATTTGAAACTTTCGTGTTCGGCTCGTTCGTTAAGCTTAACGAGCCGAGCAAGAACAAATTTTTAGGCTCGAAATATAAACGATCTGAACACGAACAAACTTATAAGCGAGCCGAACACGAACAAACATTTGTTCTCTTGTGTTCGGCTCAAATTGACTCGAAAAGAAATAAATAAATAAATAAATATACATACTAAAAAAAAAATTATCAAATTTTAAAAAATTATATCCTATAAATTATAATATATAAGAAATTATTAATAAATATTACTTATATAAATATTATATATTCATATAATATAACATATATAATTAATATAATATAATATATAAGCCACTCCCTCTTCCTACTTCCGACACCTCTCCTCTCTCTCAAAATCGCGAAAGGTGATCGGTCGTGAGAGCTCAGGGTTTCTCGATCCTGTTCGCTGCTCTCCTTCTCCACTCAAAATCACGAAAGAGTTTCGGTGGCGAGAGAGCTTAGGGTGTCGGCCACGAGACCTTAGGGTTTCTTGATTGTGTTCGCTGCTCTCCTTCTCCACTCCAAATCGCGAAAGAGTTTCGGCAGCGAGAGGTTAGGGTTTCTTCTTCCTCTTCCTCTTCCATGACATCTTCCTTTTCCGACCTCCAATTTCGAGCCGAACTCGACCCGGAAAAGATTATTCGAGTCGAACACAAGCACTCCCTTCACGAGTCATTTCGAACATGAGTCGATTTCGAACACGAGCCGGTATCGAACGAGCCGAACACTAGCCGACCCTGAGCTCGCTCAGGCTCGGTTTGTTTACAGCCTTACCTCTAATACATGAAAATGTGTATTTTAATTCATAAAATTCCTATCATTCAGCTTGAATCTTGAGGCAAGACATAAATCTCAGGGCAACACTTTGAGCAAGAAATGTTCAAAAATTGAATAAAGGCATCCCGAACTTTGGTTTCAGTAAACTTACAGTTAAACTGACCAGCTCGACGAGATGGACCCAACGACATCAAAATTGGTTCAATCTGAGTCAAATCAAGGCCGGATCAAGCCAATAAATCATGTTTAGAAGATTTTTGGGAATAATTGGAAAATAAAAGGGATTTTGAATGTGCCATGCTCATGGTCAAATCGAGCATCTCGACAAGAAGAATCTAACACATCCAAGATCACTACATTCTGACAACATTAAGACACTTAAATATCCATCGAACGCCCTCCGATCAAGGAGATCTCTCTATTCGTTTGATCAAGAGTTGTCTAAATTCCTTTCTTTTCGCAACATAGACTCTACAAATAGAGCCCTAAACACCCCATGAGAGATGAAAGAGAGGGGAGAGGGGTGGCTAGACTCTGACAAGAGGAAGACCAGAGCCTACAAAAGAGGGAGATGCAACCCAGCATCATGCACCGCCAATCCAACCAACTTTAATACTTGTCATCGTTTCTAGCCAGCATCAGCCTCTTGAATAAGCAGGCACCAACCACCATGGACCACCGTCGGACACTTGCTCCTGTAGCAACCGGCCAACGCTGCACACTAACTCTAGTTGTCTCCACCTCCTCTGCTAACTTGGTAGATGTCATCTTTGCCTTTAGCTAAATGGGGTTGATGATGCCACCTCTATTACCTCCGTCCAACTTTGGTCCCTGCCGACCACCACTGTCTTCACTAGTTGACTTCAGTTGTAGTCACCTTTGTCCGCCTTCATCCTTCAACCAACTTCAATTGTCTTAGCCCTTCACCAACTCTAGCCACTGCTGCCTCCAATTGCCTCTTATGCCAACCATCATCAATCATCATCGACCGCCACCTACTCCTTACACCGAAGTCCCTTGTGAAATCATAACACGCACTGTGAAACCTAATATCCATTGCAAAATAATATTATATCCCACTTACAATGCAATGACACCTTTCAAAGACGATGTAATAATATACCTCAAAGATAGTGATTTTCTCTGGATTTTTAAAAGACTCTCCGCGTAGCTCCCGACTCCAACCAGTGTGACTTATAAACATCATCACAGCTCACCACTACGGCTTATATATGACAAACTATGACCTACATAATCCATAGCTTACGCAACTCCAGACTCTGACCCCCACAATCTATGAATGTCGTCACAGCTTATCACTACAACCTACGTGACCAACTATGACCTATGGTTCACAGCTTGTGGAGCTCTCAACTCCGGCTCCCGCTGCATACGGAGACCTTACTCACCATTATAGCCTATGTGACCAAGTACGACCTATGTGGTTCATAACTCCTACAACCCCTGACTTCAGCTCCCACGACCTACGAATGTCATTATAACTCACCACTGCAACCTAAGTGATTCAAAAATAGTGTAGCTCCCGACTCTGGCTTCTGCAACCTGCGAACATTATCACGGCTTATCATTATGACCTACGTGGCTCACAGTCCCGCAACTTCTTATTATGACCTCTATGGTCAAACGATGCTCTTGAAACAACAATATGCAACCTAAAAGACCAACTATTGCCATGACTTTCAACTACAACCTATACAATAGATTGGTGTTACGACCATCGTCAGCAATAATAACAATAGACTATTGTCTTCATAGTAATCAACTATGACCCTTGCAACTAATTATCATCGATAACTACATTCATTACAATTAAACTATGACTATTATCAATGACCGCTATTGTACATTTACTACGATCATCTTTATAACTCTATCTTCCATGCGTGTGTTTTCTCTCTTACTAATCTAACATATCAAATCACCATTATACACTTAAAGAGTCTCCATAAAATTTTAACTTTGTGAATAATCATGTGATTTTTTAGTAACCCTTGAAGAGATAAATAAAATTAAATCGTTTGCTTTCTTAAAATAAAATAATCTTTGATAGCACACACAAATTAAATTTGTGTGTAAAATCACAATCATATATATTTAATTTACTTTCTCTAATTCCATTTTATGGTGTGCCTATTATTTTGGTGGTAAACATGTTGAGGAAGAACCTTTGCTTGGAACGAGTATGAGAGAGAGTCTACTAAAGACGATTATATTGCTTCCCTCTTTGGCACATGTATAATATACATCCATATCTCATTTGAAGATTAAGTTCTATTATTTAGAGATATATAGGAAATAAGGGCATATCAATCATTAATGTGTTCAAGTTAACTCTAAAAAATACAATAAAAATACCTTATTATTGAAGAATCATAAATTAATTAAATGCAACTGTTGGATGTTGACACTGTTGGATGCAACTGTTGTTGTTGTTGTTGTTGTTGTTGCAAGATAGTTGATATATGGGGGATT